TGCAGGCAGGGAATAACCCAGTGCTGCAGCACGTTGCCTGTTGGTGCTCCAAGCTGTGTGGCTGCCTTGGTCTCCATGGAGAGCAGTGGGATGCTTCCCAAGGCCTGCATCTCATGTGCCCCTCCTTTGTGGCCTGGAGTGAAACCTGGGCAATGGCTCTGTTCCTTGGGCACGCTGGAGTGCAGATACCTTTTGCAAGAAAAGGGTTGTTCCTGAGCCTTGACAGAGACTTTTACAGGACCTAGTGCTCAGTTTTCCCTTGCAGAGCATGGTCTACTTCTTTGATTTAAGTTTGCTAGCTTAAAGCAGTGCTGCATGGATGCTGAAAGCCCACGCTCCTAAAATAGCTCGAGTAGAAGGAGCACTTGAGTGCTGACTCCTCTTCAGGAGAGGAGAGGGAAGGTAACAATGAGCAGATGGCAGGTATTAGTCACATCACCTGATTTATCTGAGCACCTCAGACCCCATGGGCTCAAAGGTGCTGGGGGAACCTAGAGGGAAGGAATCCTCCCAGCAAACCAGGCTGGCTGTTGGAGTTGCACAGGATACAGGCAGAGGGAGCTGAGAAAATGAGGAGATCTGCAGCCAGATGCTAACCTGAGGAAAGGATGCCCACAGAGACCCTGGCCAGAGCCTGGGCCTACATTCATCTGCCCAGTTTTCCAAGCCATTCCCTCATGTATTTGACAAGCCCTCAGAGCATTACTCCTTGGGGCTCCCATGCTTTGTTCCCTCTGCAGAAGGAGCAGAACAAAGGTCCAGGTACCTCAGAAATAACTGAATTCCCCAATTTCAGGATCAGCTGGAATGACATTATCCTAGCTTCTACTCTAATAAATGCAGTACAGAAGCTGCTTGATCTTTTCCTGTAGTATCTAAATTGCCAGTGTGCACCTTGCAGTCCAGCTGGGCTGGCCCAGCATCCTCTCCCTTCTCCAGGTCCTTGGTATCCACGTGTTGGCCCTGGCCCAGCTGGCAGTGGGCTCCCAGGAGAGCCTGGAGATTCTCCCTCCTGCTGATGTGCTGGGAACACAGCGTGGAAATGAAATGTAGAATCTGTGCAGTCCCTTACATAGCAGTGGCTTCTAGCAAACTTGACACCATGGAGCAGGTAGGGCACGGAGGTGGCATGGAAGTGCTGCACTTCCAGTTGCTTGCTCTGGCTGCACTGTTTGTATAATCATTTTCTTCCAACCCAGCCTGGCCAAAAGGCAGCTGTAGGCACAGCAGAGGGAAGGGAGGTCCAATTTAGGGCTCTTTTTGACTCCCCTGTGCAGAGATGGGGTCATCAGGAATTACAGCATTGATATGCTCTCCCTGAAGAATAGCTTTATTTTTAGTTTTTTACCCCATTTGTTTTGGGTTTCTATTGTTCTAAATTTTCAACAGCAGAGGCTGAATGTGTGGTCTCCTCCTTTTTCTCGTCTTTTGTTTCAACTTTTTGGCAATAATTCCTAAAGAGCTGCTCTGCTGGAGCTGTTCCCATCATTTTTCACACTTGTGCTCAGCCCTCTGCAGAAGCCAAGCACCCTGTGGGCCTCTGAATTACAAATCTCTTTGTGGTGGCACCTTGCATCCTTGGGCTTCAGCTTCTGCCAAGCACCCAATGAATGTAGGAAGGGAGTAAACCACTTCTGCTGTGGTACATAAGGGGTTAAACTAAGCTCTGTTTATTAGTGTTGATGCTTTAAATGTGCCAGAGCATTTGAAAACGGGCAGTGGACAGGGCAGCAAGCAGTAAACACCGTTAAATGACAATACTGTTCAATATTTGCTGTTAATTGAGAGAGGCAGCAGCTGCTGGTATGCAGCTTCAGCCAGGATGAATTAGTAATGAGTCTGTAACTGGGCTTTTTTTTCTGGTTTAAGGTTGCATCAGCCCTTTATAGTTCAGTAACATGATTGGGATTGAAATAAAAATCATAGCATGCCCTAAATTGAAGATTTTATTTTGTTTTTGTTTTCCAGTGAGTTGTCATGGAGCTTGGTGTCAGTGATAAATTTGGCAGCAGTAATAAAACTGCCTTGTGTTTAAGGACCAAACTTACAGATTTTGGTTAGCTTTTCCATCCTGTGTGGCAGCCAGTGGGAATGCAGCAGGCAAAGCAAGCTCCTCCTGTGAAAGAAGGCACTTTTGTTGTGTTCTCAGATGTTTTCAGTTCAAACAGGAGTTTTGGTTCAAATTTCTTTGCTGGTGCTGCTGCAAGACGTGGGGTATGAGAGAGTTCTGTCCCTTGCTGCAGGGGCAGGAGGAGAGGGAACACTAATTCAACATTTCCCTTGTCCTTTTCTTGCACTTTTGCCATGCATTTGTGTTAAGCTTAACCTTTGAAAACTTGCTGATAAGCTGTTATCAGCCAACAGTTAAAATAACAAACCTTTCCACCTTGCTGGGTTGGGATAGGGACTTCCCAAGGCTTCAGAGCCATGGTATGGAACAGGAACATCATTAATCCAGAGCAGCCAGGCTGGGGGCAAAGTTTTCTCTCTGAAGAAACAAGCCACAGCTGCTGCTTTCATGCTGTTTACGTAACCTGCCCTGTAAGTATTTATTTTGCACAAAACGCTTTATTCTGAGCTGTAGATGTTGTTGTGAAAGGTCAAAACTCTGTTCTAGTGGTTTTTAGCAGATCTGAAGTGGGGTACAGGAAATGAAATTCCAGCTCAGTGGAAAACAATGCCAACAGTCCTATTGATTTCAGCACAGCTCGGCTTTCACCACAAGTAGAAGAATTTAGAAGCAAATAATGTTGTGTTTGTTCAGTTTGTTAAACAAAAATCCATCTGCAGGGGTTTGCACTTGAATCCAAATACTTGGAATTCTGCTGGTATTTTGGTAGGATGAGAAATACTAGATTGAAAGAATTCTTTGGGTCCACAATGATTATGTTAAAGGAGAAAAAGAAAATTCAATCAGCAGGTGTGTTTGTATCCCTGTTCCCAGCGGGGGTGATTTCTGTATTGCACACCTTTGGCTTTTGGGTCTCTCCTGTTCACATTGGCAGTTTTTACACAGTGAGTAAGTGCTTTTATGCATCCTTAAGAGCTTGAAGCTGCTGCACACCATGCTGGCTTCTGGACTGGATTATAGAGGCATGAAATCTTTCAGGTTGGGTGTGGGAAGCAAGTGCTAAAAGCCAATCGAAGGCTATAGAAGGTGGTGGTAAATGGAACTGCAGGAAGAGCTCAACTCTGGTGCTGAAAGTCCTCCAGCCCCACAAGTCCCTTCCCATTTAGGCACTGAGCATTCTCACCTTGGCTGCCAGTTATAAATGGTGGTTTCAAACCTGTCCTTAAAACCTGCATTTTTTTTTTCATGTGAAATGCAGTAATTTATTCCAGTGGCATTTGGCCAACTTTGGGCATCTGGTGTCTTATGTTTTTTATGAACATCTCTCCAATTTTCTCTGCTGTCTCCTATACATGTGTATGATTGGTGTTTACAAGGATAAGGTATTCCAATGCATTTTTTGTTTCCTATTTTGTGTGGTTTTAATTATTTTAATATTATTATTGTTTCATATCTAGTAATGCTTACAGTATTTGTTTTCTTAAGCAAGAAAATAAATCTTATATTTACATGTACTATTTCCGGTCTTAAAATAGTGGGAAAAATTATAATTACTGGCTTTTGAGGCTTTTTTAATTGATTCAGTAGAACCATGTAATTTTCTTGTGAACAAAGGCAAATATTTATGTTTTTAATACATAAAGTATGAACTCTAAAGTTTGTGTGATAAAACTGTTAAGATACATGTATGTTTACTCTAGATTTTACTTTGAAATTGTTCTGTAATTAAAATAGTTAATGCAGTCCTGGTATGGGGCCACAGAGGCTACAAATTGGTACTTTCCTGTGCAAGAATATTGTTATATTATCACCCTCCTGTTGCCCAAACAGAGCCTCTGAATGTAGCCTGACCCAGACCTCTCAAGCTTTTCCTTGTTGGGAATGTGGAATTACCCGTTCTGTTTTTGTGGCAAACCAGCAAAGATAAGGAGAGATATAAAATGAAATGGCAGTGGTGACAAAACTTAATATTGTTCTCAAATGCAATTGGCCCTTGCTCCTATTTCAACAAAAAATTAGGAACATGCTGAACCTCCCAAACATTGGCAATGGCCTTGAACTAAATAGTGGTGAAATGCAGAACATGAGGCAGGTGGTGCCAAGTGGATTTTTTTTTGTCTAAAGTCTCTTAATTCTGGGAAGTCACTGTGCTGGAATTTCTAACCCTTTTCCTCAGTGTTGTAGTAGCTTGCTTGTGTCTGAAGGAGGCTGAAGTATATGAGGAAAACTATTTGTGTGGGTAGAGAGAAACTCTTTTAAGACCAAGTAGTTTGGTATTGCATTAAAGCTCTGTAATTTCAAGGTGTTGATTTATCTTTAATTTTATGTAGAGCTGGGCTAAGTCTTGCAGCCTGTTAAATTTGGGGGGGAGGGGGGTGGGGGGTTGGAGAAAGTGCAGTGGGCTCAGGACTGGGAGTCTCAGTAGTTGTAGTCTCTCTCCTTGCTTGGTTCTGGTAGTAACAGCAATAATGATATTTTGACTTGTATGTACGTAGGAGGACTGAAGTAAGTTATGCTTTTCCTAAAATTTGCTTAAAATTAGGAAAACAAATAGCTTGGAGTTTGAGTATAAAATTAAGTGTAAAATATCATTAATAGATTACCTTGAAGGATGTTATTTTACAGGCTAATCCAATCCTGATGTAATTTTGTAACGTGGAAAGCTCTGAGCTCTTTTACTGGAGCTGCTTGCTTAATTTAGATTAAAATTGTACCATAAAAGGATTATAGAGTGTGTGCCTGTGCTAAGAAAGGATGTACTAAATATGCTGAGGTATTTTTCTACTCCCAGCTCCTTTTTGAAAGTGCATACTTAATTTTGGATGTTCTCTGCTGCCACGTAACATCACGATGTGCTGCGGGGATGTGTTGGGTTGATCTTGTGAGCATTTCTTCAATGCAGGATTCTGAGCTTCCTTGTTTTTTCCAGAGAGAAGAACTCAGTGCTGGACTGTCCTCAACACTACCCATGGTGCAGCTTTCGAGGACAGCTTGATTTCTGTGACTTGAAGAGGAGGCACATGTGCAGTGAGCCGAGAGGACATGGGCTTCCAGTGCATCTGGAACAATGATCAGGTACCAGCAGCTGTTCATATTCAAATTGTAGTAACTAGTCAGAAACACAAAGAGATATCAAGTGATAATGTGCTCACTCCTGTGGTTGTCCTAAAATTCTAAATACACTTGCCTTTCTAAGGTAGGGATGAGCTGAGTTCACCTTCTTGTTTTATGTTGTGTCCAAAGCCGTTTCCCTGCTGAGCCTGCAGAGACCTGATGGGATCCAGCTCCCATGGGAGTAACAGGAAGGGATAAGTACCAAAGGGGTGGGTGCATAGATGGAGGTGGAATCAGTGTTTACATTTTTCCAATGTAACTTGGAGTCTGAAAGCATTTGAATCTGTTAATTCTGGTGTATTGATTTTGTGAGGGGACAGCTTAGCATGTTATTTTCCATTCTTATGAGTACTTTTACATGGTATTTCCCTGGTGATTGGCTGGAGAATGCAGATTTTCAGAGGAATCCAGGCTGTTGTAGCTGGAGTAGAGACACCAGCAAAATTCCAGAAATGCAGAAATTGATAGTTTGTTTTGGATATTGCCGTTCCTATGACTATATAATCTCTTGATTCTGTGTCATATATGCAACTTTTTAGTTTAACTACATTTATTTTATGTATTAAAAATTAAGTGGTAAAACTTATATGTCAGCAAACCACATATGTCTCTCTGTATGAAGAACTGAAAAGGGGCTAATTCTATAAAAACTCTGTAAGCTTTGGGGAATTAAGTTTAGAAGAATATATAAAAAATAGTTGCTTGTTTCTTTGTAGATGCTGCTTGAAAAAATAATTTATTTTTGTCTATAAAATTTTTAGAGTTTTCTTCAGTTAGTGTCTGGGTATCTGTGTAATAGAAGAAAAAGTAGTTGTTTCACTTGAAGAGACTGAAAATGGGTTTGTTCTACACATCTTCTGTATGTTTGTGTGATCTTTGTTGTACAGAGATGCTTCTTGCAGAGAAAGCTACAGATACATAATTTTAGGATGCGCCTGAGCCACCTCTGAGTGGGATTGCAGGAAGATGTGAGATGGAGCTACATTTTGGGATTTGTTTCTTAATATAAAAGCTGTCAATTTTTACCCATTCTGTGAGGAGTGGTGGGTGCTGTAGAGGCAGAGCATCCATATATTTAGATTCTGGCTGTCTCTTGTTACGAGCTATAATTAAGGTGAAGTATTTTGCTGAAGAATTGAATTCTCCCTTGATTTGAACCTGGTTCCATCTCTGTGAAAGCAATTAGTTGCTTGAACCACCCTGTCCTTGCTTCATCAGTGACAATTCATCAGTTGCTTCATCGACATTGTTGCTTCTAATTTATCTGATTTTTTTGTGATTAGTAGGCAAGGCACTCGATATGGGAGTGCTCTGTGTGGTAGTGGTGAGTGGAGGAGGCTTGAGGATGGAGGGTCTGGCCCTGAGGGGGACTGTGACATTTATAGAGGACTGGAGCTTATAAAACACTCTGCAAAGCTCTGGAGGGTCCCAGGGTTAATGCTTCAGCTGATGTGCTTTTGCACGTGGCTCTCAGTCAGCCTCTCTTAGCCATGACTTGAATTTACTGATGTGGTGCTGGTTTTTCCCAGGATGGGCAAATACAGAACTGGGCAATACAAAGCTGCTGGTTTGGGGTGGAGTGTTAGGACAATGGCAAAGTTTGATGTGCCCCTTGGGTGAAGTCTCTTTAACTTTTGGTTGTCCCTTAAGGTCAATTCTGTGATTTAATTCAGAAAATATTTGGGGTGCTGTGCAGTGACCCCTCTGGGGTGCTTTCTCCATCATCCTGCAGTGTCCAATGTTGTGCTTGAAAACAAGGCCCAAACCCCACTGCTGACAAGTTCGGTGTTCTAAACTCCAATATTCTCTATTTAAAGTGCTGTCACAGCTCCTGAACAGAGTAATTCTGCATTGTGATACCTCACACAGATCAAGAGGACTCTTCTGGGGTCTGCAGTGAGCACTGGGGAGCAGCAGTCTCTTGGGAGGGAGGTAAAAAAAAGCAGTGACCTCTGAAGCAAAGCCTACTGAAAGCTTCATGAGTGACATGGGTCTGGGAGGATGCTGAGCAGGTTTTGTTTGCCTTGGGAATATTTACATAGAGCTGATCCACTCTTCTTGAAGGAACTTTATCACAGTACTACAGAGAAAACTGTTGGTACTAAATATAGAGCCTTATTCTGGCAGTCTCATGACTTGAGTTCTGCTGTCTTAATGGGCTTTCAGCAGTTTTTGTAGGGTTTTTGGTAGAAAATCTGAATATTACTCCTCGAAGGAGTTGTGTAACAGTAGCAAGGACACAAAGATTAAATTTGGTGAGACCTTGCACTGCAAAAGATCAGAGGAATTTTTCAGCTTCTGCTGTTGCTGTAAAGCTTTCAGTGCCTCAGTATCTTCAGAGAAGATCCCTCAGAGGTTCCAATAGTTCATCTTGATCTTTTGCATCAAAGCAATATCACTATTGCTGGACAGCTTTTGTGAAATGATTTTTGTTTCCTTCCAACTAGAGGAAACAAGTTCCTTAGGCTGCTGCTTTATTATTTACCATTTAGAAAAGCTCTTCTTACAGCCTAAGTAATTTTTTCTTCTTGCACTTTGAGTCCATTGCTTTTCTGTAGATGTGGAGCAGGACTTCCCTCTTTCTTTGAAGAAACCATTTGTGTATTTAGTAGAAACATATAATATCTCATTAGCTTTTCATTTCACTCTGTCCAGACTGAACCACCTCACTGAGTTACCTCCCCATCCCTCAGAGCTTACCTGGTGACCTCTCTGCCTTTGCTTGTTGTTCTGGGTGATTTCTCACATTCCCAGCAAGCCTTTCCCAAAAGTGGACTTCCCCAAAGGCCTCATCAAAACTGAGAGGATCAGGAATTTGTATTCCTGTTAATGGATAGAAGTTGCCTTGTTTGTGACAACTGGATATTTATAATTTGTGCTCAGTCTCTGATCCTCTCCATCCCCAATCCTTATCTACAGTGCAGCTGCTCAGCAGTTGTTTCTATATTTATGCAGGTGATTTTTTTCTCTGAACAACACTTGACCTTGGGGAATTGGACTGCATTTTTTAATCACTTCTTCAGTTTCATTAATTCCTCCCTGCAATAGCTTCCCATTTATTCATGTCTTTTTGTGGCAATAACATAAATTATAAGACTTTTCTTTCCACATGGCACTAATACTGAGGCTTCATTGTCAGCTCTCATTGCTTTTTGCAGATTTCTCACCTGCCAGAGGAAAAGTGACAGTGGCTCAGCTGGCTTTACAGGTGTCCCTTATAACTGCAATTGATGAATACTTATTTTTAAAATTCATTTCTTCAGTATTTCTCACTGCTGTGAACCCTATTAGAATTAATTATTGTTATGGAAGACTTGATTTCAGCCTGTTCTCTGGGAGGAATATTATGTTGTGCCTGTTTCCCTGAACAAATAGATCTGGTTTTCTCTCATGGCCTCTGCTCAGCTGGCCACCACCACTGTCAATGCAGGGAGGCTGTTGCTCACTTGCTGTTTGAACTGCCCTTTCAGCAGCTGTAATGTCTCTTGTGTAGCACCATTTTCCTTCCTGATGGAATTCCAGAGCTTCTCTTTATGTCCCAGGAGCTGGGCTGCCATCCTTCAGAGGAAGGTAGTCTGCAAATGGAGTTTTTTGAACTTTCCCAGCCTCATCAGTGCATGTTCTTAACATAACACTGTCTTGTCTCCTCCTAAAGTTACACAGACTGGAACTGCAAAGGCAGGGCTCACCTGGAAAGAGGAGGGGAAGCCACTCAGAATCCCCTTAAACAGCTTCCCTTTCCAAACAGGGCTCCTGACTGGAATTGCTGCTCACCTTTGTCTGGATGTTGTACATGCCCATTTTGGAGCTTTTTCTCTTTTCCTCTGGTCAAGCTTCTCAGGTCTCAATGCTGGTCTTGTCAAATTACAGTTTTGTTCACCTGCCTCTGTAGGGAGGACTTCTCAAAGTCCCAGGTCTGGGCACTTTCAGAATAAAATCCTATATGATAAATGCATACATTTAATTTCTGGTCTTACTGAAGTGCAATTGAGACAGTTGGTTTAAAATTATGTTGTATTTGCCCTATTGAGTGTGTAAGAGATAATAAAATCACACACACACAAAAAGGAAAAATAATAAAATAAATTGGCCCATACTACTGTGTTACATGTTCAGTTTTTTCAATTTTTTCACAATATTCCACTCTCCAGTAACTGATATTTCTGGCATATCAGTTTGGGGCATCAGATAGGGTCTGGTAATAAATCTCTGTAAACAGCAAGTTTGGAAGGACATGAAATAGAAGCTTTGCTCCTTACAAAAGGGAAAGTGAGTTGCACCAGGTCAGGTCTGGACATAATGACAGCACAAATGAGAATCTGATTCTGTGATTCTGATTCCTTCCTTCCTGGGCGCTCACAGGAGGGATGTGTCTGGGGCTGGGAAGAGTAGATTCAAAGTTTCACAGGTGTTTAGGACTTGACAATGAAATGGCCCCTTATCTATGCAAATATTTACCCAAACGTTTGCCTGGTAGGGAATCATTTGCTGTCTCCATTCACTTATTTACTCATCCAGGTAGGAACTTTTCACAGAGCAGTCCCTCTTGTACCTCCAAGTGTGTGCTGAGTAGGTTTATTAACAGCCTTAGTGCTGCATAATTATGAAATTAACCTTTGAGTCACTCCCATCTCTTTTCTAATTTTCTGCTGTTGTCAGTGGAATATGCCATGGGCAGCATTAAGGATTTCTTTTGGGTTTGTGCTTCCTTGTGTGGCTGTTATGGGCCACTGGCAGAGGCAGGATCCTGGGATAACTCAGCCTCTGGTCCAGGGCAGCAGAACCATCCTTCCTTGTCAAAGGTTGGCTTGGGATTTCTTCCCAAGTTGCCAAGGCCTACAAATAACAACGTATGCTATTTTTGAATATTGGCATAATATTGGAATTCTCAGTCTTCTGCAATTTTAGTTGTTCACCAGTTTATTGAAACTGAAGGTCACAGGATTGGAGAACTTGATTAT